CTTTTTACATTACAAATATATTTCTCCCAGAAAGATTCAATTGAAGACTCTATGGAGATTGTTCTTGAAAAACTCCTGCACGTGACCAAAGATGCAGTGGCCAAGGTATTACCTTTCTTCATTTTACCCATTGTAATTTGCGGACTTGATTGTGTTAAAATTTCTTCGTTGCTATGCAGATTTCAAATGAGGCAAACCAATGCTTAAATGTTCTATGGGCAAAATATGATCCTTTCAGATGTCTTGCTGTATGTACAAAGTTTTGCTCTTATGTACTATTGTTGCTTCCCTTTCTACTCTGTCCAATTTATTATACTTCAATGTTAAAGGCCTTTGGTTCTTATGCAGATTATTGTACCTTTATTGGTCAGTGATGATGAGAAGATACTTGTCGTGTGTATCAACTGTTTGACAAAGGTATCTCATATTTGCAGTTGGTATTGCTGTCTGATCATTTCCCACGAATTTGAATGGCATTTCATAGACTGTATAGTGATTTAACAAAGGAAGTGCCTATGTCTGTTACAGCTATGATTTAGTGCAGAGGGCATCATGTTGTAATGTATCAATCTCAATTCTAAATTTGAGGTGATAATATTGCTTTTTTTTAAAATGGACTTGACACTGTCGTACTAGCTATTGTTGCTTCACCAAAAACCATCATTGCACTTATTTCATTTTAGATACCCTAGTTGCTTGTGCACTACCCTTCGAAGCTTTAGCCACTATCGATGCTAATCAATCTGAACTTTTGCAATACATATATATTTTTTTTGTAACTTCTGAATGTGACTTTCAAGAGTGTCATGTTTACTGGCTGGAGGAAAAATGAACTAATAGTATGAGAAAATCATGTTAGTTTAAATGAATTTTGTCCTTATGTCTGGCGCATCTGTAGTCAAGGGTGTTTGGTAGTAGGCCAGTTGGCCTCTCTGTGCTCTCTCTCCCTCTTAATGAAATGACACGCGAGCTCTTATGCACTGTTTGAGAGGAAAAATGAAATAACTAGTAATATGAAAAAAAAATATTTGTTTCAAAATTTGCTTAAAATTTCGTTTGTTAGTGTTAAGGATTGCTTTGGCTTGTACAAACATTGTTGATAGTTGTTTTCTTGTGACAATTGTGCAGCTTGTTGGGCGCCTTTCCCAAGAGGAATTGATTGATCAGTTGCCTACATTTCTGCCAGCATTATTTGATGCTTTTAACAACCAAAGTCCAGATGTCCGAAAGGTCAGTACCATCATATTTCCCTTGCTTATTCTGTACACGACCTTTCAATTGTGTACTGACCTTTTTTTGTATCTTGAAATTTCGTAATACATTCCTCTAGTAACTAATCGTTGGCCATTCTTGTTACTCTAGACTGTTGTGTTCTGCCTGGTGGATATCTACATCATGCTTGGGAAAGCATTCGCTCCATACTTGGAAGGGCTTAGCAGCACGCAGCTCCGCCTAGTAACCATCTACGCTAACCGGATTTCACAGGCGAGGTCTGGCAAGCCAATCGATTCTAACCAATGAGATTGTAACATTGTTATTTGTGGTCTATATGAGCATTTCTTCGGTAGGGTGTTTTTCTTGTCATTTGTTTGTGTATGTGTATAGTATAAACAAGCGCCCCCCATCTGTCAAGAGCTCCTGGTTTTTGCCCTGTGTGATTATGTATTCCCTCTTTACCCTTTTTCATTTTTTTTCTTTAGTAGCTTGTGGAGAGTGTTAATGAGTGTGGCTTCATTTGTACTACTTGGTACATACGCTGTACAAAGAAAGGAAAGTGTAGTTTCGTGGAGAACAGTTATGGAAGTGATTTTTTGGGCCCATTTTCCTTGGCTGGATGACAGTTTGCCGGCCTGTTGTGAAATATGGCAAAACTTCTGTGGATTCTTTTCTTCAGGTCGATCGCTTTTCTTCGTAGTGCGTCCGTGAGAAGAGTGGAAGTAAACGAAATGTTACAAATTCTTAATGGAGTACATGGTTTTGTTGCCCTACGCGCTAACAAAATACTCCCTCCGTCCTAATATAATTGTTGTTCTCGCTTTTTGAAAAATAACTTTGTATAATTTTATATAAAAAATATTAATATTTATGGTACATAATTAATATCATTAGATAGAGTGTTAAATCTATTTTCATAATAAATTTATTTGAAAATATAAATGTTGCACGTATTTTCTATAAATTTAGTTAAACTTATGACACGGAAATAAAAAATGACAGTTAATTTGGGAGATGGGGAGTACTAATTTGGCCCTCATCCATTTCATGTCATATTGTGTCCTCTTTTCGGTTGTGTAGTTCGGGAACAAGGTGTATATGAATGGTTTCGTGCTAGTTTTCCGCCGGGGGGTGTTGGCTGCTGTCGTCTGCAGTGGCCTCCGTGCTTGTTGGGCGCCCCGCGCTTGAGACCAAGCATGGCTTGGGCTACTGCTGGTATTGCTTGGCACGGGTAGGGTCATTGGCTGGATGGGCGGCTGGGGTTTCTACTACCCCCCTTGCTCGAGCCGGTTCCGTGGTGGAGCTAGCTAGATCGGCCTGCTGCTGGCCGGCTTTGTTGGATCTAGGGGTGGGCAGCCTCCCCGGTGCTTTCCTATCATGTGTTTCTCGGGGCGACGGCCAGTTGGGATTGTTGCTGGTCCCTCGCCGCATCCTACCTTGTTGCTAGGGTGGAGGGCGTCTTCCCGTGGCTGCACGTGCGGGAGGGATGCTTGCAGTGCGTGTGGTGGTGTTCGATGTTAGCGGGGACACCCGCGTGTATCTCCGGTGCTTTTCCTCGGGGTAGGCTACCTCTGTGGGGGGCTTCGGCAGGCAGCGGTGGGTAAGTTGCACGAGGTCGGGATGAAAGCATGGACGATGACATCTGCTGATATCGCTCCCTTCTTGAAGGCATCCTCTTTCTACCTCTTTTCCTATCGTACTGGAATTGCAGGTGAAAATCTTTCTTGTTGGACTAGCTGCGTCGTTTCCTTATTGGAGGCGTTGTTAGGCTTTCAGGATCCCCTACACTCTTGTCGTCTTGCCATGGGTCACGGGTCGTCGTCGTCGTCGTGTAAGCGTACATATACAACATACTCTCCGGCCTTCGTACGTACCGAGTATCTCCGGTATCTGATGGGCAAGACATCAGTGAGGTAAACGTATATACACGTGTGTCATCAAGGAACAATTCTGTGCCAGGGCTCGTTCGTTTACGATAGTTCCTGCCAGAAACGGTTCCCGGTGAAGACTGCCCTATACAAATATTATAAACGTTTCTAGCCGGAACGGTCCCAGAACGTAATTCCCTGGGAACCGAACAGGCCCTCGAAGAGAACGACAAATTTTGGCAACCCAGATGTGTCAAGAGAACAGTGGCGAAGCTACGTTCACGTGTCGGGGTCTGGCGACACCGACGACTTTACCGTTTCACCTATTACAGAGTAATTTTGACCGGCTTGGACCCCAAGCAAAATTTACGTGAGACCCCAGTGGCCCGGCAGGTGGCAACCCAACAGCAACGGTCCAAAAGTCCATCGATCTGCTTCTGCTCAGCCCATCCGATCCACAAATCCCATACGCCCACAACTCCACGTACATGAGTCGGTGAATGCTAACATGCTGCAGATACAGAGAGTACTTGATAGCCCGAAGGCCGAACGTCGCTTAGCTTCGTACACGACGCATCCCAAATCTTCCCGGCGGGCGTCGCCCCTGCCCGGCGGCCGGCGCTCAGTAGCCGCTCCTCATGGCTCAGTTCGTTCTCAATCTGACGATCTTGTGTTCACCTCCTGCTGTCTACTCTCAATCAGAATGAGGTACAGCCGTACAGGTACTCCACACAGCAAATACCAAATTATGCAATTTGTAATTAAATTAACGATAGTATGAACATTGAGGTCTCAGGGTTTTTTTTCCAGCTATACAATCTGAAATCAGATTCTCAGAAAGCAGTAACTTGCGTTCAAGCAATGAAGTGAAGAACGTTCTCTTTCATTCCATCCAGCAAAGTGATTTCTGCATTATACGCATAGCTGCTATCTGCTTTAGTTTTTTAACCACAATTCCAATGAAACATGTGATAATTCGCTTTCATAAGATGGAGGATCATAGTCGTAGAGAGAAAATGTAAGAGGTAACTACTGTTGCGAAACCTTATTTTGTCATAATATGCGGTTGTTATTTTATCAATGTCAAGTTATGCATGATATTATATTATCGGGACCTATAAATCAGCAATTAATATTGTTGAGCGAAGCCCGCTATAAATTTATGGTGGTACACTACTAAGAGGACATACATAAATTGGTAGAAATACATGGTGAAAGTTTGTCCATTTAGTAGAATTTTTTTCCCTTACCGTGGTGCATTGGCACCAGGCAAGCTCAATGCAGCTTCGCCCCTGTTACTGTGAGTACCCGACCCCAGCAGCCATTTCTCCTGGCTTCGCCCCTGCAAGAGATACGCAGACAGTCCTAGAAACTTTTCTCTCTGAATAGCAGGCATAGAAGGAGCTTGAGTAGATTAGCTCCATGGTACAAGTGCGGGTGCACAGGCAGGGGTGGATCGTAAGGCCAAGGCTCGTCCTCGCTGTTTCCGTTGCCGCCACAAACCAAGTAGCGGTTAGACGCGGACCACCATCCTTTAGCGAGACGCGGACAAGAGCTCTGGTCTGCACTGCACTCCGCAGGCAGGCAAGCACGCAAGCCTGCCGTCCCGAGATGGCGACGACCCTTCCCGTCCCCTACGCCCTACGGTTACGCGCCCCTCTTCCCATCTCCCGGCGAGTTCCCCGCAAGCCAGCACTCTCCTGTAGCAGAGCTTGCCGCGCCGGCGTCCGCTGCTCCGCCGCAAACAAGCCCTCCCCTCCTCCCCCCACCACTCCGGACAGCAGCGAGGTAAGGTAGCCGCCGCCGCCAGCTTTTTTCTACTCTGTGCCTAGCAAATCTCGGCTCTGGAGTCTGTGTTTGGAGTCCTTATTATATCGTCCGGTGAACCGGCCGGCTTACGCGTGTCGTCGCAGCTCCATGGCGAATATACGGAGTGAGGTGCTCTCCCCGTTCCGGTCGGTGCGGATGTTCTTCTACCTCGCGTTCATGGCCAGCGGCACGCTGGGGGGGCTCATCGCGCTCGCGCGGCTCCTCCCGGCGCTGTCCGTGTCCGACCCCGCGCTGGCGGCGGGCGCGGCCGACACGCTCAAGGGCCTGGGCATCGACGTCGCGGCCGTCTCGCTCTTCGCCTTCCTCTACTCGCGCGAGAGCAAGGCCAAGGACGCCCAGGTGGCCAGGCTCGCGCGGGAGGAGCGCCTGTCCAGGCTCAGGCTCCGCGTCGGCGCCGGCGCCGGCGCCGAGGGCGCGGGCGCGGGCAGCAGCAGGCCGTTCACGCTCAGCGAGCTGCGGGGCACCGCGCGGCTCGTCATCGTGGCGGGCCCCGCGGAGTTCGTCGCCGAGTCGTTCCGCAGGAGCCAGCCGTTCCTGAGGGAGCTCGCGGAGAGGGCCGTGCTGGCGGTGCCCTTCGCCACGGACGGCAGCACGCCCGAGCTGCGGCTCGACGGCAGCGGCGAGGACGGCGTCGACGACGACGACGACGTTGCCAGGAGGAGCAAGAGGCTCTGGCAGCTCACGCCGGTGTACATAACTGAATGGGCGCAGTACGAAATTAAACACGCTCAGCTTAGAACATCTTTGTCCATAAACTTGATTAGTCTCGCGTTGATCACCACTTTCCTGCATCTGATGCAGATGGTTAGACGATCAAAAGAAGCTGGCCGGCGTGCCATCTGATTCCCCCGTGTAAGCACCTCGAAACTCGCCTGGTTTCCCAACGTCATTGTTCTGAAGATTTCAATTTTGTCTAATTTCTTGTAAAATTTTTAAACTCTTCTCTTCTCTATTCGAAATGGGCACCAAGCTGATTTGTTAAAAAGAAGATCTTAGTCTTGCCATGTCGCAGTGATTGAATGATCTATTCTTAATTTCTTGTTATCTTACCATTGGATGTCGACGCTGCGTTGCAGGTACCTCTCCCTCCGGATGGACGGGCGCGTCCGCGGCAGCGGCGTGGGGTACCCGCCGTGGCAAGCGTTCGTGGCGCAGCTGCCGCCGGTGAAAGGGATGTGGTCGGGTCTTCTCGACGGGATGGACGGCAGGGTGCTCTAGGCCAACAACGTGATGATCGATAAGCATCCATCCCGTTTTGCCGTGCCTAGTTTGCTAGATGTGACCAGTGCTTACAAGGATGTTTTACTTGTTCATAAGAGTCGTAATTGAGAAAGCACTACTTGTATTGTATAGTAGCACATGAACATAAAATCAAAGACATCATGTGTGTTTGCCCATCTTCCTGCAGACATGTATACTGGGTGCGTCACACACACGCTGTAAATCAGAATGCAACCCCCCCCCAAAAAAAACACCACACACCCACCAAAAAATGATTCATTTAAAAACAGGTTGATTTCTCACCAGAATTCTTGGTTACCCCTTCCAGCTATAATATGAGTTTGGCTCCATCGTTTTACCGTGTCTTTGGTTTGCGGGTTCAAGTGGGATATCCCGGATCCATCTCAGATGATCTGCTGTTTTGATTGGAGATTGAGTGAAATGGGTTGAACCCAGATGGGGATATTCCCTCAATATCCGGGTTCCGCTGGTTCCTCCAAAAGGAGGGGACCGAGCAAAACCACTCCAACTCCGTCTCCGCGTCCACGTACACTCCCAGCCTAGCCCCAGCGCCGCCGTCCGCCCCTCCCAGCGCTGCCGTCCGCCCCTCCCAGCGCCGTCGTCCGCCCCCTCCCTGTGCCGGCCCAGCCCCGTCCCCAGCGCTCGCCCCGGCCCCGGTAGTCGCGGCGGTCCCCACGCCGGTCGCGGAGGAGAAGGACTGGAGGAGCTGTGCACACACCAGTCGGAGGAGGAGGAGCTGCGCACATCGCGGAGGAGGAGGAGCCCGCGGCGACGCCCACACCGGTTGCGGAGGAGGAGGAGGGGCGGCACGGGAGGAAGAGCTTGCGGATCCATGGCCTGGGGAAGAAGAAGGGGTCTCGTGGCCCGTCGGCGTTGGGGCGAGGTGGCAGGGCAACATGGCGGGGCCAACAGGGGCACGGGGTGGCGTGGCGGGCCGCCGGTGGTGGTAGGGCGATGCATCATGAGTTCGCGACGGGAGTTGGAAGAAAAGGTGGAGTCGCTGACAAGTGGGTCCCACATGGGATAGTTACTAATGGAGTTAACAGTCCCATTCATTCAAACCCGCTCCATCCCACATACCAAACAAAAAACTAGAACGGTTCCAACCCTCAAACCAAACACGAAATGGGTTCATCTCATCCCAAAAAATTGGGTTGGATCCATCCCAACCCAATTGGTCCCCAAACCAAACACACAGTATAGACCCTAGCGTATTCTATATGGGTTCAGGCTATTAGGTTAAGTTCCACACTTTTCCTAATGACCAGATGCTTGAGTTCTCAGGCAATGCTGCATTCACTCCTGCCTTGATTTTTTCCATCTAGTTAAATCTCAGCCTTACATGCTCATGAGCCAACGATGAAGATCGTTACCTGAAAACATATTATATTCACTAGTACATAGGTGGGCTTCAATCCCGGTAGGGAACAGGCTTTAGTCCCGGTTTCCCAACCGGGATTACGGACCCGGGACTAAAGGCTGGGATCTTTAGTCTTGGGTCACGCAACTGGGACTAAAGCCCATCCTCGGGATTAAAAAAAATTAAATCCTGGAGACCTCTTTCTCGCGGTGCGTGAGATACGAACCCAAGACCCCTTGAAAGGTCCTTGTTTGGTTTTGGTAATTGAGTAACAACCTTAGGTGGACTAATGTGTTTATGTGCGATACACAGGTGATTAGTCCATAGGTACATGTGTATGAGCAACATATGCCATGACGGTGATGATAGCTCAAAGATGTTGCAAAGCTCACATATGTGATGATGAAGGAGCTTATTGCACATAAGAAATGACATGGAGTCATGTGATCAAGGTAGAGAAGATCAAGGCATGACTTGACTTGATGGACCGGTTGCAAGTGTGAAGGGCAAGTTGGAGGCTTTGGAGCGATGGACCGCATGGCGGTGAAGCTTGAGCAAGACTTGGCGTCGATGGACGAAGGCAATGGTGAAAAGCAAGTGAAGTCAAGATCGATGAACCCATATGATCACGTGATGATATGAAGTGGATCATATCATTGTTGATCGTGTTGGTGCATGTGTTGCATCGACATTGGAGGAGATGGAATAGAATGCGCAAGGTAAAGTTATAACCTAGGGCATTTCATTTCACCCGTCATAGATGTATAGAGAAGTTTATCACCGGGTTTATGATAGATGGCCATACTATCAAGAGGGGCAAACTTGTTTACATATCGGTCATCTAGTGCCACTTGAGTGATCTAACTTTGCATCGTCGCTAGGATCGAGTGGCGTGGCAAGTTGAGTGGCTAATCCTTTGGAAAATGTTTGTGAAAAACTAATATACATACACATGGTGGTGTACACTTGGTGGTGTTGGCACATTTGGAAAGGAGAAGTCGGAGTTGATGTGGATCAACTCGGCGATGAAATAGAGGCGAGAAGGGGTCACTGTAAGTGACCGGATGCTAGCCTCGGCAGGACCGGCGCATCCGGTCACTGGCTGTAGTTGAGTGCGCGTCTCGGTCTTGTGACCGGACGCTGACGCGAAGAGTGACCGGATGCGTAGCGACTGCGTCCGATTAGGCTAACGTACGCTGGCGTCTTGGCGCGAGGAGCAGCAGTGACACATGGCAGGTGGTGAAGGACCGGACTTAGGTGCTGTGTCCGATCGCGACCAACCTGACGCGTCCGGTCACAAAACAGAGGCTCGGGGAGGTCTCTGGAAACAACCGGAGTCTGGCCGGTCTGCGTCCGGTCGTGCAGGAGCGGACGCATTCGGTTGCAAAACAGAGGCTCGGGGAGTTCTCTAGAAATGACCGGACTCTGAGGCTCGAGCGTCCGGTCTTGGAGCTATGCTGCGTCCGGTCATCACTTGACCATTGGCGTTGTGCTGTGTCCGGTCATCACTTGACCGACCGTTGAGATCAAGCGACTGAGGGTGAATGGTGGCGTCGCGTGGCGTACATCTGTTGACCGGACGCTGGCAGGGTGCGTCCGATTGATCTAACCGGCGCGTCCGGTCATCCTGAAAAACACCCAGTGAAGGGATAACGACTATTTTAGCTCGTGGGGCTATAAATAGAAGTGTTGGCCGGCCTTTGGCCGTAAGCTTGGAAGAACTTAGCACACTAGAGCCTTGGTGGCTTATGTGGTGGTGCTTGGGAGCCCTCTAACTCACTCTAGCTCGATAGTGTTCATCCGTTTGAGTGAGTGAGCTATTCTAGTGCAATTGCATCATGAGGTTGCATCAAGTGGCACTAGGTGTTCGAGTTGTAAGCCGGTGGTGCTTGTTACTCTTGGAGGTTGCCACCTCCTAGATGGCTTGGTGGTGGTCTTCATCGAAGCCCGTAAGAAGCTTATGTGGTGCTCCGGAGAAGAGCTTTGTGAGGGGCATTGTGCTCACCCCGTGGGAGCCGTGAAGAGCAACTCTAGTTGAGAGTGTCATTGAGTTACCCTCACTTTTGGGGTAGGTTCTTGCGGTGCCCGACGTGCGGGCTTGGCGGATGATGCTAATTAGCCGCCGAACCATCAAGTGAGCGGTCGACACAACAAGGACGTAGCGTGTTGGCAAGCATGTGAACCTCGAGAGAAAATCACCGTGTCAACATTGTTCTTCCCATTGGTTTGCAATCCCCTTACACAAGCTTGTAATTACTTTCATATACATTGTGCTTGTGTAGTTGCTCTTGCAATTAGTTAGCTTGTGTAGCTTACTAGTTACCTTCTTGCTTGTGTAGCATAGAAGTAGCTCCCTTTGCGTGGCTTATTTGGTTTGTATAACCTTGTTAGGCACATTGCTTAGTTTGTGTAGCTAAGTATTTGTGCTCTCTAATTTGGCATTGGTTGCCTTGTTATTGAGCATTGCTAGTGAGCTTAGGAGCCTTTCGCTTACTAGAATTGTGTAGGAGCTCTCCGGTGTGCAAAATACTAGTGGCATAGGTTTGTGTGACCTTACTCCTAGAATTGGATAGGTAAGCTCTATCTTGCTTGGCACCTTAGTTGCTTAATTAAGATTATTGCAAGATGCTAGAGAACATAGATAGAGGGGTGTAGTCTTGGCTAGACCGATTGTTTTAATTTCGCATTTGTTTCGGTTAGCCTACGTGATTAAATTTAGAAAGGACTATTTACCCCGCTCTAGTCCGCCATCTCGACCCTACAAGTGGTATCGGAGCAAGGTTTCTCATTTGTGGTCTTCACCGACCCGAGAGAATGGCGTCTAGTGGGCTAGATGTTTGTGACACACATTTTTTATGGCACAAACTTTGCACGTTGGAAAAATCACATGCTTGATCATTTTTGTGCAAAAGGATCTAAGTTTTGGTGGATTGTCACTAGTGGTCTCACTCATGTCTTAGACCATAGAAATCTCACCAAAGCTCAAAGAGTTCTCTATAAACTTGATGTACATGCTTGTTGTTTTCTAATGGATGCATTGAGTTTTGATTGGATGAAACAAGTAAACTACACGGGAACCGCTCGTGAGATGTGGGAGTCCATCAAGCGCGCCTTCGGTGACTCCTCCACATGGGATGATGGCAAGTTCAAGGAGGATGAGCCCAAGAAAGTGGCACATGAGGATGTTGAGTATGACCATAACTTGGTGATTGTGGAAGATTGCTCCACCTCATGGTCAAGTGATGATAATGATCGCTCTACTACAAGTTCACTTGACAAGGTTGATGATGATGATTCAAGTGATGCAAATGATGATTCTACCCCAAACACACTTGATGATCATGATGATGGTTCATGCTCGGGCCATGATTGCGATGCTACTACAAGCCCATCCACAACACCACATTGTTTCATGTCACAAGGTGACACCAAGGTATCAAATGCTAATGTGGTTGATCATGTTGATTCATATGATGAGCTTGTTAGTAGATGTAACAGAACCGACCAATTATACAAAATTAAGTAAGAAAATCATCCGCCAGAGCAGACGATTTAGCAAACTTAAGCCCGTATAACCCGGTAGTCCGTGAAATCACGAAGGATTTCAAACCAACTT